AAGTCAGTGGGAGAGACAGAGGTCTTCACATATTAAAAAAAAAAAAGAAGTTTTGACCACGAAGCTGATCTATTAAATGTGAATGTCTGTGCCTGTTATTGACTATGGCGATGTGGTGTATACTAATTGTCTTCTGGATAGTGTGTACCATGGGATGCTGAGATTCATTATCAAATGTGGTCCCCTCTCTCACCACTGTCTACTCTAAAGTTAATCGGACATCTTTAAGTGGTCTCAGTCATCGGTATGTGTTTACTTACAGAATCATTCTGGGTATTGTTCCTTCCCATTTGTCTTGTCTTCTAACAAGAAAACATAGAAGTCACAGTCTCCCATCTATGGATTCTCTGCAGTTTGTCGTCCCCAAAGTACGATCTGAACTGGGCAAGAAAGCATTTTCTGCACCTGATGCTCGGCAAAAATTACAACTTCAACTTCAAGCCCTTGTTACACTGAATGAGTTTAAAGTTGAGGTGAAATCATTACAGTCTACTTTGTCTGTGTGCAAGTGTTACACCTCAAATGTACTCATACCCTCCAATAAAGAAGGAAAAAAACAGCTGTCACTGAAATAAGCTGAAATTGACAAAAGTAATAATAAATAAAAAATGTAATGAAAATCATGACATTGTTTTTGAATTGTGGTTCAACAGAAATATTTAAAAAACAACAACAACAACAAGCAAACAAGCATGATGGGGCGCATAAACTAATATTTAGTTGAACAACCCTTTGAGCCAATCACTGTAATTAAGTGTTTCCTGTAACTCTCCATCAGACGTCTGCACCTGTTGACAGATATTTTGATTTTGGCTCAGTGCTCATCAGCAAAGTGCTCTCATTTGTCCGGGACTGTCTTTTTTTTTTTTTTTTTTCTTAAATCATTCTTTTCAACCACAATTCAAAAGCAATGTCTTATTTCACTAAATTATAATTTAGTAATTTTTTATGTATCATTACTTTTTTCAGTTTCTACTTATTTGAGTGACTATTGTGAATTTTGCCTTTTCTTTAATGTAAGGGGAAGAATATATTTGAGGACGACTGTATATGTGAGCAAGTTTTAAACTTTATCTGCTGTTTATTGTGTTTAATGTGACTATGCTGCTGCCCTCTTGGCCAGGTCTCCCTCTGATCTCAACGGGACTAACCAGGTTAAATAAATGCTGGAGAAGGTCAATCAAAAGGTTGATCAGACATGACGATCTTAGTCCATTAAGAGTAGAGCAGCTTTAATGCAGTCCAGCAAGCTCTGCACTGAGTTATTGTTGTATATTGCTATAAACA